CTACACGGGCTTCGGACATTTTCTCCTCCATCACAAATGCAGCCGCTCGAGCCGGGATCCGATCCCGCAACATTCAGGTTTACAGTAGCGCATCGTAACCACTAGACAACAGCGGTGGGAAAAACGCGCCAAACGGGGCGGACGCTTACAAACGACTCGTTAAGTTAACTAATCGCAGTTGCCACGGTCAGGATGCATTATTTCATTTAACCAAGAACGCCTTGAAAGGTGAGTGGCAAGTACCAAAGGCGTACTTTTTAATGTGTGCGAATTACGTAAACGTTGCTGAGTGGATAGCGTACATGGCTCTTGAGGTCGCTGACCCAAAGGTCGTGGGTTCGATTGCCGTTCACGTAACAATCGTTACCATATTGGTGGTAGTTTTTCGGAAACCTACCGCTGAAGTCTAGTTGGCCCCGGCATTAAACACCCTAATGTGATACTGTTAAACAGCGAAAAAAAGCGTTCAAAGTCTTCTTTGTTTCAACCATAAGATCCAGCCTGCTCTGAAGTACAAAAGATACTTTAGAGGTGCAGGCTAGTGGACCTGAAAGCACTGGCTCACCTTTACTAGTTTGATATGAACATTTAAGCTCGCCGGTAACGCAGAATGCAGTAAGCATTACACACGCACACGTGTGTGTGTGTGTGCGTGCGCGTGTGTTTGTGTGTTCTTTCCTATACAGTATAATTGGGACTAATAACTTCCCCTATACTCTAATTTACATTATACTCTGTCAGATCATCTAACAGACAATAATGCCACAGAAAGTATAGGGGGAAGAATGAGGCTCAATTATATTCTGTCAAAACATGGAAAAACGAGCCATCAAGTATACACTTCTTTCCTTTATTCATTACGAGGGTCTCGTCACTGGCAGATTTTATGCCTTTAGGTTGTATACAAGAGACTATTGGTGAGCTGCCAACTCGAAATAAGTTCATGTGCTACATGACGCCAAACAAGCTCATAAAAAGAGTGCCACACTCACCGCCATGGCTACTGGTGGCGCTGACTGACCCTCTCACGCTCAAAATTCCATATATACCCAATAAACTTACTGGGAGGGTAGCCGCCATGGTAGCTAAGTGGTAGAGTGTTGAACGCGTTAATCGAAGGTCACAGGTTTCTGTTCCTGCTCACGTGCAAGCTATCTTTTTACCCACTTTTAAGCTCTTCGCAATAACATTTCAATTCGGTCTAATAACTCCTCCTATATTTTCCTTGGCATCATTGTTTGTTAGATCATGTTAGATCTCATCAATATTGTATCAAAACAACAAAAGAGACGTTACGTATAGCTCCTTTTCCTTATATATATATATATATATATATATATATATATATATATATATATATATATATATACTGGACTCTCAGAATTTTGTCGGCAGTTCTGACTAGTCTTTGCTTTGAAGAGAAAAGCTGAAAACGTATTCACCCTTTCAAGGCGCACACGTTTTTTCTCTTGTGCGTGAGCTTGCTGTTGGCCATCCTTGTGCTCAAGGAAGTCTTTGCCCCACAGGTCAAAAATCTTGTTGGACCCGCTATAGGTGGCGATGAACTTCTCGATTTCATTTCTTAGCTGAAATCAAAAATGTCAACTGAAATATGCATGTCTAAATGAAGATATAGTGTCTCAAATGTCCAGCAGAAGCTTAAACATTAGCAGAAACGGAAGAAAAAAACAGTAGACTAAAAATTTTTAAATTAACACTGAAAGTGTAGAAATTAGAAGGCCATGCTATCGTTTCAAAGAAACCCTCGTTGGCCCTCATTGCAATGTAGGTTAGGTCAAGTTGTAAAGCATCAAATAAATGTGTTTTTAAAGTCCGTTCATTACTAGAAATTTTCAATATAAACTAGACCCACGGCGAATACCAATCACTGTCAACAGATACACACCCCATCTTTGTCCCTTTGCTTCGACTAGCAACTACAAACAGCGCTGTTTCCCTGAAGAAGTACTTCGGTTGATGCTAGTTAGTGCAAAGTACTCACTGAGAAAGAGCCCCGCAATAACACAGGGATAAGACACAGCGCTCTTTGTCGCTACTGTGTGTTTTTTTCTGCGTCTCTCCACTGATGTTTCTAAATGAGTGCGATTTATTTGATTTCTGTCGCGTACTAGAAGCAGAGATTCTGTCCGATTCACGTGACAAATCCAACATTTTTACAACCGAGCTTTTAACGCTTTCATCTGTCGGTTTCGGGCAAACAACTAGCAACATAAGCAGCCTGCCCTATATGGCATCTCTTGACACCTAGCACATGGCACAGCTGCGCATAGCACGTGCAACACAATTAGTTCATCATCATCATCATCTTCTTCTTTTTCTTTTTCTTCATCATCATCATTATCATCATCATGGGCTTAACCCTTCAGGGCAAAAGTATCTCCCATGTTCCGTCAATCGACCAGCCTTGTGCTTTCTGCTGTCACGTTGTACCTGCAATCATTTTAATCTCAACTGCCCATCCGACTTTCTCCACCTCGCACGTTTGCCCCATATTGTGATTCAGTTATGCAGTTACCTGAATGACCAGCGACTGTCCTGCCTACGCGCTATGTGCTCGGCCCATGTCATTATCATCTTGATTATAGTTATGACTTCATTAATCCCCGTTAGTTACCAGACCCACCCAGCTCTATTCGTGTCTCTTCAAGCTATTTTTGTCATTTTCCTTTTTATTACTCGATGCGTCGTCCTCAATTTAGGTTGAGCACTCTTTGTAAGCCTCGGAGTTTCTGTTCCGCCCGTCGGTACCGGCAAGATGCAGCTGTCATGTACATTCCTTTCGAGGAATAGTGTTAGACTGCCATCAACCATCTTACAATTCATGCCGAATGTGCTCCGCGCCATCTTTACTCTTCTTTGTTACTTCACTCTGATGCTTCGTAGTTACTACCTATCCTATTCCCTTAGGACTTCAAGTGTCATGACCTATCGCAAGCGCTGTTTTCTGCCAAGACAGTTGCACATTAGTTGAGTGACGTGAATATTGATTTTCAGACTTACGCTTTTGTTTTTCGTCGTCAGTTCAGTAACAACGCGTTTCAATTCTTGTCCTTAGTTACTCACCAATGCAATGTCATCAGCGAATCACAAGCTACCAAGGGCCTGAACACTTCTTGTAAACAAGCTATGAATACCAATTTTTAGACCGTGCCTCCATGCTTTCAATCCTTCTTCGTTGGGATACCAATTTTCTTTTGTAGGACACTATGGTGGATGTGGATCCAATGTAGATTTGTTCCAGTATGTTTACGAAGGCTACGCCGTAGCCTCGATTCTGCAGTGCCTGCTGCATCCCTGCTGATATTTCACCAAAGGAAATGCCTTTTCGCAATACGTAAAGTCTATGTATATATGTTGGTTGTATTCCGTTCATTTCTTTATCACCTGATTTTCAGTATAATTATGCACAATTGTGTACCCTCTACGAAATACTAGTTGGTTCATTGGTCGATTACACTCAAATGTTATTTTATTACTATTCGCTATTATTTGTGTAAACACCTTGTACACAATGGACAATGAGCTGATCAACCTGTAATATTTCATGCCCTTGACTACCCTTCCTCACAGATCAAGACGAATTTGGCATTCTTTGTAGTTTCTGGTACTCTACCCGTCAAGAGACTTCGTATACGGGGTGGCTAGGTTTTCTAACGCAATCTCTCTTTCTTTCAACAGGTCTCAAGTACTCTTACTCTCACCAGCGGCTTTGCCTGTTTGCATTCCCGTTAGGGCTTTCTTTACTCCCTATCTTGACTGCTGGGATATCACCTTCGGCTGGCTTATTGCTATTTCTTATGTTAACATCCCTGTTCTCTTGACCCCTGTACCAATCTTCACAGAACTCCTGTGCTACCTCCTATGCTTTGCAATTAGAATACAACAGTATCTTCCATTACTTGTGGCTCAAAATTACCCTTAATATTTTTCTTGCTTTTTCTTAGAACAGTTTTCACTCAACATATTTGCACAGCGCAAGACCACGAGTAGTTACGACGTAACCACAGAAGAGACAACGACAGATAGAGCGCTCTTTCTGTCCTTGTCTCTTCTTCTGTGGTTACGTGGTAACTACTCGTAGTCTTGCGCTGTGCAAATATGTTGATTCCCAATCACCAACTAGCGCAAGCATCTGTCTTATCAAGTTTCCACTCGCACTGCTTGTTCCGAGCCGCCATTTACCAAGATCTATGATGGCTAGAGCTGCAGTGTTATTTTATTTTATTTTTTGTATTCGAGCGCTTCACATATTCTAATAATTATTACAACATACGATTTCTCTTCGGTTTGAACTTATATCATCAAAACTTTTCGAGTATTCGCAATTATCCAACGGTCGTGTATCATTCCAAATGTAAACTTCACGTAAAGAAGCGTCGAGCGCAGTGGAGGAGTGCTTTACCATGAATACACCTGTCCAAAGAAAAGCTGCCCACTTCAGCAATAAATAATCCCCACATCAATTCATCATTATTTAAGTTAAAATCTTGCTATGGTAGCTTATACACTCTAGTAAGTTGTGACGCATTTTACCAGTTCTCAGTAGTATTCTACCAAAAGTCAAAACCTTCAACTATTCAAAGTTGCTCCAACTTCTCTTTAACCAAAAACAACAATATTTACAAATAAATTCTTTCAAATAAAAACACTGTGGGCCTTGGTTGAATTATGTCTCGTATGCTCATTTTTTATACTATGAGATATGTAATATTCAAATTCTCTTGGAAATTGTTCGCCAAATCACTCATTCCTTCAAATTTGAAATTCGCGATTCGCACAAGCCTGCTAAATGCCTAAAGTGTGACCAGCTTCAAGCAGATACTTTTCTATATTTGAAACGGCTTTTGTTCTTGGGAGTTAGTACGTGTGCTGTAAACGCTGAAGTCCAACGGCCTGTTATGGGGTTAATTGTTAGATGTCACACACAGAGCACACTGTATTTCAGCAGAATCAGCCGACACCTACCCCGGGGTTCTCACCATGAAGCCTCTGCCTCTCCTTCAACTCCTGCAGGAGGTGCCCTCCGCGGTTCTTCAGGCGCGATGGGTCGCTTTTCCAGCTCCAGATACCTGGACCACAGGGCTTCGTGGCGCTCTGCTTTGGCGATGATGAGTTTGTTCTCAGAGTAGAACTCCTTGAGTGCCTTCAGCTGATCCTCCAGCAGTGCCAGTCGCTCCTCTGAGATGTCTGAAAAAACGAAGTCAATGTTAACAATTATGTATTCTGGTAACTAAATACTAATGAAAAATACTACCTAAACTAAGTAACATTAATAATTATTTCACGTTTTGTGACGGAAAAGAGTGGGGCTGTTCAAAGTCAACTTGGAACAAGCTAAACGCCGCAAAATCGCATATTGCTGCACCTCAGGAAACACTCGTGATGTAGCAGGCCAATCCGCAATTTGTGTACCCTTACAGCGAAGCTAACTGCTTCATACAACATTTGACATTCAAACCTTGGTAAGCTTTTATTAAGGAGCAGTAATCAGCAAAACTATGCATTACTGCCATAGAAAGTTCAACGGAAAATATTGTAAGACATTCATAATTATTGTATATTTAAGCCTTTTTTGCCTGCAACAAAGTGGCTGAAATACCTCACGAGCAGTCTATATTGCTTAACTTTGAGAGCATGCTTTGTCAATTGCTAGAGCCGAAATTACTCTAAAATACCCCAGCCTTTGTCCACCATTTCAATGCACCAATCTATTTGCGGTCGCGGTGAATCTCACGTTAGCTATGCTGCGATGCTAGATGCAGTGACGGTATGCGAAGTGATTTAAACTATCACTGCATAGGGTGCACAAAATATAACTATTGAATCAAATGCCTCAGTACGTTGTTGAAGTCAAAAGATATATAGTAACTCCTCGGCGGCCAAGCTTTAGCAGGTAGAATCAGTGACGAGGTCAAGCTCACCAGAAAAAAAACAGGATAGAATGTAAGCAACTGAGAATGTCATAAAAGTAATTCAAGTCCCTCGTTTGCTTTAGGGACTAATGTTTCATGAAGTAGGTACTGTAAAGATGTTCCAACGATAGGGCCGTTTGAAGAGTATCATTTCACCATCATTTAAACTTATTAGATGTAGGGTCCACATCCACGACTTGCGGTAGGCGTCCGCTGAACTTCACAGCGGGCATATATCCCACGTAAAAGAAGGGGAACGCTTTGTTTCATTTTAGTATAAAAACGCACCTCACAAAATTTCTCCTCCGATTTTGTTCTTTAACACTCGATTGCACTATCTTGTACAAACACATTGGGCAGCAGAAGTACTATGCGTCATCTAAAGACTGATTTGAGCTCTCTGCGTAAATTTATTGAAACACTTCAAGCTGCAAATCGGTGCAGATCACTATGGCTACGTTATACACGTTTTCAAACGATCATTCGCAGGATGGCATCTGTTTGGTTGTGGAATACGCGTAATATCATCTGCTAGTTTGGCGGCACCTGTCGGAGCATATATCAACCACTTCGAGATCTTCGTCTCTATTGCTAGACAGCGTGCGTACTGCCGGGGACACCGGGAAACGAGATTGCGCGACTTAGCCCTAACCTGTCGTAACCTCCGAGATTGAGCGTGACCTGTCGGGGCATGGCCTGTCTTGGAGGTCACGACCTGTCAAAGCTCAAATGTTCGAGTGCACTCATCCGAGCTCTGGCCGCTTAGTGATGTTTGCGCGTATCATTCGTTGTAGAAACAAGGCAAGGATAAAAAGGAGGCTATGATATTCTTTTCCGCGTGTTCTTTCCTGCTACTAGGCGTATCGCTAAACTTGTAGTGCGAATTGTTTGATGACATTCAAGCCTAAATGCTGACAAATATAAAAAAAAACATTTCAGGGTTCCTTTAGACGAAACTAGCAATTATGTAGTGCTTTGCAACTGTATTTTGTTCGGTCTCGTTTTTAACGAATTGGAAGTCATGAAGTGATGAATCGAAGACAAGTATTTTAGAGCGGCATCGCTCCAGTTCTTCAAACAAGTATTTTTGCTGATGCGTGTAATGAATATCTTCCCGCTCCCCCACGAATGTTCGAATAGTTCATGTTTCGAACACTTTTGTAATTGTACTGGCTGTTCAAATCTATTCACACGAAAGAATTACTATTCGAACTATTTGAACAACGCAAAGACAAATGTAGTTAACGTCCGTTCGACAATGGTCTCCTTCATATTTTTATATGCTTCTCCGCACAACGAACAAACACCGCGGCAAAGCTGTTTTTCAGACTACTATGGTGGCAGACGTATTGACCCAAGGAAACATGAGTTCTAACATGAAGATGACAGATGTGGCAGAGGTTTTTGGTCTCAAAACTTGGGCAAGAATTCCGCAACATCAAACGTCGAAGATTTTTAATCACCGAAATTTCAGGTAATCTTAGACTAACGTCAACAAGGCAGATTTGGAACTCCTGACTTAAAGAGAGCACACCTTTGTATGCCACATCCCTTCATCTTTCACAGAAGGTGAAAGAGGATGGGAGCCCGAAGAAATAATTTTATTTCTTGTTTTTCGCGTGTTAACTGTTATAGCAAGAACTTTTGTTGCACCAAATTGGGCACATAAATACATAAATACAATAAATACACAAATAAAAATTTTAAGAACAACTACTATGAAACGCCACTCTGCCAGCACTTGATAAACTAAGTCAAAACAAACTTTCATCTTCCTACGTCATGAGAGCATGCTTAGAAATCCTCGCTGGCTTTTCTGCAATTTTTCTTCTAACTATTCAAAGCCATTTAGAAATATTCGAAAAGCATTCGATCTGCATTCGAACATTACTATTGGAAGTCACTTCGCCCCCAAAGTTTTGTTATTCGCAGAGTTCTATTTAGTTTGCATTACGTTTGTACACTGAGGGTAAAAAATTAACAAACTGAGCATTACTGTTCCTCACCGCAGAGCACACTGTGCCCTCGCAAGATGAATCATCAAATACAGGAGCACGACATAGATCTTAAAAGATGTAGTGGTAGATGTGCCCCTCCCCCCTTTTCCGGAACCTTCAGTTACTAGAACCAAACCTGCGCTGTATCCCAGAAATATATGGCAGTCATGCAGCAAGTAGGAATCGCCGTTGTAAGGAGCACCAAACAGAAACCTTGGGGCAGCTTGACGCAAAGCACGCACCTTCAGAGTCGTCAACGTCCAGGTACAGTCGGCATTGGGGTACACAGCACTTCTTGTACCACGTGAGCAGATCATCCTTGGCACGCGTGATAAACTCCCGCAGGCACGCTTGCTTTCGCCGCTCATACTCGGCAAGAGTGGCCCGTAGCTGTGAAGGCGAGAGAACATTGACATAACCGAGGAGCAATTCACGGCACAATTTTAGCATTTTTGCGGGCACGCCGGCACAGAGGTGCTGCAAGCTTGCTTAACATGTGGCCATTTTATTCATTATAGGCAACCAGTAACGCTTGACCGTTTACTGCCTAGTATGATAACTTTGCCACAAATCAAACAAAAATCACAGCATATCCACGGAGTGAATGATTATGAATGGGTCGAAGCGCTGGAGGGTTTCATCGCCAAACTGTGAACCGTCCGCGAATATCGCCCTCTACATAATCAAAGAAGTGACAAACAAGAAATTTTATTATTTGTAAGTAGTAGCTATACGTCGCTTCCGTTCCCCCTCCATTATAACGGCTTTATGGTCGGTGAAATGATGGATCGGTGATGCGGCGTGGTGGGATGTTTGCGACGACGAAGTAGTGGGCAGTTTTCAAACGTGGAACTATAAGCGGTCTCGTGAAAACAAGGGATGGACACAGTGGGAAAATCTATGCATGGTTTAAAAACGCGCACCTGAATACAACGCACGACCATCTTGCATTTCATATTGGCTGCTTCTCAACAGTATCGGCTTTACGTTCGCTGATGTTGTGGATCGGTGATGTGGTGTACTGGGACGTTTGTAAGGTGGATACATACATACATACATACATACGTACATACATACATACATACATACATACATACATACATACATACATACATACATACATACATACATACATACATACATACATACATACATACATACATACATACATACGGAGATAGGACAGACCCACATTCTTAGGAGCTTCACCCCTAAAATAAATCCAGCAAGCAATTAACGAATTGGGTGACGCCTCTGATGCCGGCTGCCAACTACTCATGGCAAATATAGCTTTAAGCTTGAAAAATAAGGCGCTGTCTCGTCTAGGACATTTCATGCTAGAACCAATTGTTTTGTGGCTGAAGGCGAAGGGCTCGAAGCGCGCTCAGCACATCCCACGTCTTCGTTCTTTCTCGCCGAGAGGACGTAAGGTCTATCTTCCATAATTTCGTTTATTTAGTGTGTACGCAAGCAAGAGGCACCACAAGACACGTACGTTATTATGAGGCTCGTTTTTTGCTGCAAGGTTCTTACTGATGTGGTATATGAATAATTCGTGACATAAATGAAAGTATGCATTAGAGTTGAATTTTTCATAATTTACCGGCAGAACCACCGAAATGTTGCCACTTAAACCTGGAAGATGAAAACAATTTAAATTTTGTTCTGCCTTTTATATATTTAGGCATTAAAGTGCTCATAAAACACTTGTTGCCACGTTTATAACCGAGATATTAGATACAGTGCAGAATCAGAATAATAATAAAAGTTTAGTAATATCACAGGTGAGTAACATGGATAATGAGGTCCCACAGTTGCATACTTTACCGAGACCTCCTCTACAAGCATTTGTTCCAGTTGCATGTGTTTTATTAAGGGTTCAACTGTGCCGAAAAAAATGTGCGCAGAAAAAACAAGAAAACAAAAGCACAGCTCACTAAATGCCGTGTTGACAACAGTAGGAAAAGGTATCTTAATCTGATTCACTAAGCAGTTGTCTGGCAACTGCGTTTGTGTATTTTTTATAGTGTTGCCATCTAAAAAATTCATTATAATATTAGCAATAACTGCTGGGGTTCAACGTTTGAAAACCACGATGTGATTATAAGAGACGCCGTAATGAAGTGCCTTGAAAATTTGGACCACCTGTGGGTCTTCAACGTGCACCTAGATCTAAGCACATGTGCCCAAAAACATGAGTCGAAGTGATAACACTGAAATTTAACACATGTTCATCGAATAAAAAAAACAAAGGAAGATGTTTGAAGCAAGTGAAACAATAAATATTTGTTGTACATCCCAAAACCCAGATACGATTACAGCAGGGACTGTTGCCATGGGCTCCAAAAATTTTTACCCAAAGAAATATTTTAGCGCTGGTCAAAATTCAAGCACACAGACCTCTAAATTTTTGGCTCAGCTGCCCAGCTTCATAACCAAAAGTTCACTATCATATGCGTGCGCGTGGTTCCCCTTGAGGATGCGGGGAATATTTCAGTGACCCTACCCTCTTTGCTAAGTCACAAGCAGCCCCATCCTTAATGAGAAAATATTGATAAGATTGTATATAACTTCTCTTAAGGTAACAACATTTGAACTGAATAATGTCACATTGTAATCAAAAAGTGGACCAATTTTTCTCTCCTAATGTGCCGACACCTAAACTGCGATATTGGTTGAAAATTGTTTCCGGCCCAAAGTTTTAGATTTCTTCTACAAATGTGCGCTTTTATGTTTTTCGCTGAAGTGAAATAATTTTCTGGGCGTAAAACATGCCCATTGGGTAAATTTTATCAAGATAGCGAATGACGGCCACGTCATCGTATTTTTAATTGGACACACACCTCAAGCAGCCACACCCTACATCGTTCGTAGGCACTGATAAATATGTCTAGTGCTGAAGATAGCCTTTAGGATACTACATTTTCTATCAATGCTAACAACTATATAATCACAATTTCAAATAATTATCTGCTTAATTTTATCCTTCCTACTCCCACGAGAAAAACTCTATCGGAAATTTGCGAGGCAGCTCTCAAGAAGTCAAGCAAGCAGCTTACTGCAGCCAGAGTCGACGGCGTTAGGTCGGTACTGGAGCTGCGGATTCGATGTTGCTCCTCGGGTGGAATGTCCAGTCGGTCAAAAAATAAGGCAAGCTGCTCCTGCAGGCCGGCCAGCTCCCGACGACGGGTCACCTCAAGCTGTTGGAGCTGACCATGCAAGCACACCACAGTTCACTCGCAAGACCACCAGAAAGAGGGCAAAACACAAGACAGGCCCATTTAGAACGCCATACATGCAGTTCACAAGGGTAGCCACCCTAACCCTACAGATTATGAAATGTAATTTAGAGGTTCCTTTAAGCCAAGCCAGTAGGTGCAGTAAAAATTAATCAATTCAAACTCACAGGTAAATTCAAACTGACGCCTTGGTCCTGGCCCTGTGTATTTATATAAGGGAGGTTCTCGATATTTCCTCGGCATTGTATCGACGACGGCCAATTCAAACTGGGATTTCCCGGCTTTTGTCACTCCTCGAACACGTTCAACCTACCTGATCACAATTCGCTACACAAGTTAACTCGGCTTACCAGATTCACAACAAAGAAACAGCCGCATTTTTCAGCAGAATACGAGAATACGGATGCTGATATGAAGGACTCGGTCATTCAGCAAGCGATGCGCATGGACGCATGACAGAAGGAAAACAAGAATGTGCAAATTGCTGATTATTCAGATAGTGCTATATCTGTCATGTGAATAAATGTGTTTAGCTGCATGAGGGCCCTCACATTTCCCTTTTATTGAAATAATGTTATTGAAATACAATAACTAAGCAGAAACAATATCTCTTATACGAGATACACGTAAGGCGATTTCGGCACGATCGTATAACTTGTACAGCATTATCGTGGTTTTACCATAAGAACTACCTTCTAAATGAATAATGTATTGACTGTGGTAAAGACTGAGCAAGTTGATGATGCCTCTTAAAAGTTCCCACGGAGCTAAACAAGGAAGAAATGTCGAAAAGGGCCAAATAACTCTTTGAGCACCCATTTTTTTCAGTACCGGCAGTTTTTCCTTCCCATTTCTTGCCCCACTGAAACAAGTGAGAAATAAAAGACATAAGACTGACAAAAGGAATGCGAAACAAGAGTAATGGTCTGAGTGGCTCGCTCGCTCTGTGTTGTCCACAACTGATGAAGCCAACAGAAGGTTCTTCCATAACACGGAAGGAATTAATGTGGGCGATACACCATTGTTATTGCAAGTCGTATCCTAACCCATAATTTCCGAGTTATGTGTTCGATGATCTGCCATTTCAGCTATGACTGAGGGCGTTCCATCGTAGCTAAATACTGCCAATTGAAAGCAGGTGCAAACGTGTTTTGTTGACCCATGTTAAATAACGTCGACACTGTACTACTTGCGACAAAGGGCAGAGTTTAATGAATCTTGCATGGCCGGGGCCGCATTATGAACTGGTGTAGTGAGTGAGGCTGTAAACAGACAGTGAGGATAAGATTCTTCGAATTAGGATTGACACTAATGTAAAAATCTAGAATGCGAATCCGATTTGTTTTCAATAGAAACATATACCACAAGCGAAATCTCTGAAGTTAAAACTGCGTTGTCGACCTAGAGATAAAGAGTGACACGGGGAGGGGCGGGGGCGTGATGTCCTTCCTGGGGCTGCATAACACTGCTGCGCGGGCCACATGCGACCCACAGGTTGCCGACTTTTAGCTTGCATCATCATCAGCCTATCCATGGTTTACTACTGGACAGATGCCCTTCACGATAATCTCAAATTTACCCTGTACTATGCAAGTACATTCCCTCTTATTCCGGTAATTTTAATAATTTTGTCGCTCTATGACCATCCACTGCTTCTAACCAGGCCAATTTTTCACTCTTAAAGACAACAGGAATATCGGTCACCCCCTCTTGCCCACTCTACTGTCTTTCTATGTCTTCTTCGTATGTCTGTCATCTTTTCGTGCTTATTCACTCCTCGTGGTTCTCAAGTTAGTCTGCAAGCTTCGGCCTCCCGAGGAAGCCTTTAAAAAATAGCAAGTCATTGTCACAAACTTCGCTGCGTAAGCCAACCTACATTATAGTTGCACGTTAAAAAATCAATTCAAATGATCAAAATAAATATTCTGGCCACACAGCAAGCTAAGGAGCTCAGTTATGCCGACCTAAGTAGAAGGTCACCGTAAATAAGGGTAAAACAAGTAACACGCCAGACGATGACTGGAAGGCAAAAACAACTCACACTTACTTCATAAGCACAAAAAATAACGCAAAGAACAAGTGATTTACGTTCCTTTCTCTTGTCCTCGTAAAGCTGCAAGCCCTTCTTGCATGATGATAAAGAGAGACAAACTAGATGGTATACGGGCACCAGCGAACCTGACAAAAACAGGTGTTAACGGAACACTGGGAGAGTTTCGACACCTTTTCTCCACACAGCTTCTCAAGCCTACCTTGTGCTCGTGTATTTAAGGGCGTAACAAGGGGCTTGCAATACATGAATACGGTTTATCCAGAAACTAGCGCGATATTTTGAAGGACCACTGACAGCAAATTTCGAAGGTGAGATAATGGGCAGTATGTATTTACGTGGAGACAAACACGACACCTATGAGATATCAATGGCAGACATAGCCTTGAACATCCTTAGAATCAGTTTTAAAGTGGACGCTGGGCAACTGATCGTAATGCGGAGCCCCTGACGACGCCATCTTCAAAGCAGGGACAATGCAAACACTGACGTCACGAGTTTTCGTTGGCTGGTAGCTCGCACGTGCACTGCTCTAGCGGTATACCCTTCATTTCCCGTTCCGTGCCAGCAATATCGCGTGAATTGCTGTGCTGTGATGTGGCCAGTTTTGTTTGCCGTGCCGCCGGAACTGTTCCTGCCTTGCTCGGTTCTCTTTGAAAGCGAAACTCAGAGTAGGCGCGCTAATAACATCTGTAAATGAATTTCCCCCAGGTACTCCCGTAAACGAGGCTTTCAGTGGCTCATATTCACAAGCTACCTATTGCTATAAAAGTGATGATGTGTAATATTTTTATGTAAGTGCTCATTCAATCAGGGGACGTTTCACGAAAAGGTACAATTGATGCGGTATGGTTTTCTATGAAATATTAGAGACGTACAACTTTTTACATTGAAACTCACCATTAAACTCAAAGCGCATCTCTTTTACAAAGATCCACGGGCCTAAATAATATGGATATTATGGCAAGTCATCCCAGTGCTTCAGAGGCAATCGTCTTAGCCCATTCAAGAGAATTAGCTCCCCAAGAGGAAAGCGTTATTGCCAATGGAAAATAATACCGGAATGTACGTTGATGATGCAAAGTATACTAAAATTAAAATTTCAACTCACTTCATCGAGGTAAGCCTTCAATTCATCGATGTTGTTTTTGACAATATAAAATCCTTATCATCATTCATAACCTTCAGATGGGCTTGCGGCTTAGAGCCAAGCAGGTTCAGCTCTGCAATTGTTTCTTTTCGCAGCAAAGACACTTGGCAGGCACGATCAACCTGGAACAAACGGTGTCCAGCAATGGCTTGCAGTTCTCAGCAGCTGGAAAATTTAGCAACAGAATGAAAATGCCTGTCCACTCAATATTTTTTGTCTGATTTTTTATATGTTATGCAGACATATTCAAAGTGTATTTAACCAAAAAAACTTTTGGAAGAGCACCCAGTGCACAAAAAAATCATGCGTAAGTATACTTCGAAGATTCTAGTGATACCTATCGCAATTCTCCCATTTCATGGTTCGATTCATTTAGGAACTACGAACTATCAAACCATTTCCGCTTCTTTTAACTCATCACTACATATCTGCCTTACCTTTCTTGCAAATTTTCATGTGCAGTGTCTCTTCTCCTCTTCGCTTTCTTTCCAATCTTTCTTCCCCATTCCCCCTTCCTCTAGTGCAGGGTAGCAAACCGGATGCTCCATTTTCTGGTTAACCTCCCTGCCTTTCCCTCATTTTATTCTCTCTCTCTCTTCATGTGCCCTGGTTCATTTTCTATTTCGCTCAAGAACTAAGGTATTGCAAACTTTTTGTGAAAGATCATCTTCTCTCAAGCACTGTAAGTTAAAATAAGAACTTTTCCCAGAAAATATACTATTTGAAAACATGGACGCTCCCTCAGGCGGCTAGTGGGTCAGTGTAACAAGAAAGTGAAATCTGTCTTCACAGAGGCAGTACAGCGTTTATTGTGCAGTTTTCGCCTCAAGAGCACACGAATGAACGCTACCGCAGGAAAATAATTTCACGCAAGAACGGCAAGCGGCTCGAAACTTTCAGCCCGAAACTCAAGCAGGAACGCACGAATGCACGAGACGAACGCACGAGTGTCTGAGCAGCGTGCGCCTTACGTAAAGCGGCCACCGCAGTGAGCGAAGTGACTGCTGTGCACTCGTTAAGGGCCGTTCCACGCGCTTCCCGCACAGCCGCAAAGGATGTGCCGGGACCGCTACCGCAACCAAGCGGAGGGTAAAAGAGCGTCGCCGATTCGCTCATTTTACCCTCCCCCCCTCTTTGGGTGTGGCTAGTGTCCCTGCACGTGCGTTGCGGCTGGTCGGGGAGCGAATGTAACAACCCTAGCTGCTGTAACTTCAAAGCAAACTTGCAGTGAAAGCAGAATACGTAGAAAGCGCCCCAAGAGCAACTTAAACACGCGCGCTTTTGCGACTATGCCCCGATGAGGTACGCGCGCACCCGAATGCGCAGAGCGAAGACCTTTATTGCGCGTCCCGCACACGCACTTTGCGCCATCTCGCTTCTGATGGTGGAAACTAGCTGAAGTCGGAGGTATGGAAACTGAACAGTGTAGGGTGTAGATAAACAGCTTCTTCTTAACAATATCGTCAATGTTCGCTCCGTGGCTAGTGGTTTCGCGCCGGGCACCCAGGAGTGAGAGATTGCAAGTTTGACGTACGGTAACTGTACTTTTTCTTTGGAATCTGTTCACATTTTAACCGTAGAGCAAACATGTCAGTGAAGCCGTGGTGGCAATAGGATAAAAACAATTTCGTGTTAAAAAAAACAGAATAGCAAAACCTTTGAACTTATTAAAGTGTTTTGCCAGCGAGCACTATGCCAGTCAAAACAAGGCTTTAAAATTGTACGCGTTCGTTTGCCTACTTATAACCTGCTGAATAGTGGCCTATGCCTAGTGTGCTGCCTTTCATGCCTTTACTTGTTACCATCTTGCAGTGTGCGTAAATATACAGTTATTTATTCTGCGTAAATATACAGTTATTTATTCTGTTGCGACAGAACATCGTCGTGGTCACTTGTCTTGAACAAAAACGCCTTCTTAAATTTCACTTTAGTCTACCCTATGCAAGGTAGGCTATCGCAAATATAGCACAAAGTTTTTCAAGCAATCTTTTCGATGCCGCTGTGATAGCAGACACTAACCTTCTCCCGCTCAAGACCTTGAATCCAAAGCTTCATCTCCTGAAGGTTCTTTTCTGACGGAACGGAGACACTGCACGTGCTCAAGCAATGTGCGCCCAGCTTCGCACACAACTCAGCCTCTTTTTTCTTGAGTTTCTTCTGTGCACGCTCTCGATCTCTTTTCTTCTCTTTCAGGTGCTCCAGGTCTTTCCTGACGCTGTTTTCTTGTTCGAGTATTGAGAGGGACGCCGTGAACTGAAATGAAATAGCAGCATCAGTTGCACTGCTTTCTCCGACAACGCTACCGGGAAAGCTATATCACGTGCTCACGTGCAACCAGACTAGGACTGCATGGTGTACTCTCAAGGGCTGTACATGCGAAACCACGTGTCTGGTGCAGTCTGTAGCGGCTGGCACCAATTCCTCCTAAGCTGGGATTGAGAAAAGGGGGATACAACAGCCACCAGCATGATTCCGACGTGGTTACTCATAGTATTATTCCTGTGTCAGCCCATGTATCCGATGGCGAAATCGCTTTTTTTTTCAACCACAAACCTTAAGTACTCATAAATATGCACCAAAAACTTCATCATGTCTCCAAAATGCGTGTTTAGGTCATTGAACGCGAGGCAATAGTCTAAATGAAGTGAAGTAGTGCAAGTTGTGGGCTTGTTTTCTTTGTTGGTAATCAATATTACCGTTACTTAATATAGCTGGCAGCCCATCTGAAAAATAACAGTGTGGAGGGAAGCTTGGCATCTCAAGAGGTGCATTATTGGAAATAACTGTCCAATGAGAAATTTGATGTTTTATTTAGCACTGCATCAGCATAAAATTTTATATTTTTGCAAAAAAAGCAAACACTATTTTGTTCAAGTAATTATAGGTCAGAAAAGTGCTGATAATGTTCCTTCGAAATTAATTTTAATAGACACTTTTAGCTGGGCGTAGGTAACGAGCCTACGAACGCGGCACGATGCGTAGCGTACGCTGCATGTGAAGCGCTCAACGACACTTTCAGCTCACCGCATTGACCGTACCGAGATACGTTTGGTTCAAGTAGACGTATGTTGTTAGAAATAAAACAGGGTTGTCCGCAAATCCTGGCGTCCTCCTCGCAATCTTTCTTTTCCATCTTTCTTGCGATGCCGGACCAGCAATGTCAAATACGCAGCCCGGCCGTGGTCGAGCGAAGGGATACACAATGCTCAGGAGGGGGTGAGGGAGGGCAAGAGCGAGGAAGAGTGCAATGTCGCATGACATCCCTGCGCCACTGCTTCGGCAGGCGCAGCATATATGCACAATTTTCGACTCAGTGGTTACACCTGGTGGGACACTTTCTCAACTGTCCATGATTCCTGACCACGTTATTTAACTGTCACATCCTGTTCTATCTTGATTGATTTGTGGGGTTTAACGTCCCAAAACCACCATATAATTATGAGAGACGCCGTAGTGGAGGGCTCCGGAAATTTTGACCACCTGGGGTTCTTTAACGTGCGCCCAAATCTGAGCACACGGGCTTACAACATTTCTGCCTCCATCGGAAATGCAGCCGCCGCAGCCGGTATATTCTGTTCTACCCTAAATAACTTGAACAAATATATTGCCTCTTGTTCAATCTCGTTGCAAGTCGGTACAAGACAAAAGCAAAAGAACAGACGGAAAGAGACTAGACAAAAACAAAAGAAGAGATGTAAACACAGAATGCTGTGTGTTCATCTGTCCTGTCCTTGAACAGTTGAAAAAATCGCTGAATATAAACTCGGTAGCCCAACAAGAAGCCTCACTGTAGTCAAGAATGCAATACAACTTCCTAAGAAGATAAGCATGAGGAAGCTATGCACCACTTTATTTGACAGCTGTTGGGTATGCTAACATGTGAATGAAGGGTAATACATTTCTTCACACTTAACACTGCCTCATGTTAGCGACATTCGTGCCAGAATCGCCCTGTCTACATCTCTTGCTGGCGCATTGTTCGCTGTGACGTTGGTTGGCTATTACTATTTTATATAAACATTCATTTTATTTTTTTCGTCATAGCAAGCCTCTCCGTGCACAGAATACATATCCCCAGTCGTCACCATACTTGTCACACAGTGAACACCATAATTAACTCTGTGCTTCCACGTGCCATTTGATCATAAAGCTTAATTGAAGCAGACACTCTCCAGTTCGAAGTACGAAAGCTAATACAATGTTACAATTCATTTGCGAACATTAAGGAGCGGATACGCCCACATTTAACGATCATACATGCGTTTTGCAAAAAAAAAATCATCGGTGACCTCGTGCGATTATCTTACCTCAGGGAGCGGTATCGAAAGCTCTCTGCAAAGCTGGTGCAGGTGATCCTTCAACTGCGCAATTTTCTTTAAAAGCGTTTCTTTCATTTCCACCTCACTATCAATCATCTGGTTGAGCAGCGTTTCGATGTGGCTCTTGGTGCGCTCAAAGCGGCTCCGTGTGGGCTCATACTCGAAGCCCAAATCGGCCCACACACTCATCAGTAGCTGTAGTTTTCGTGTGACCATTGTGCAGATTTCTTCAGCCTTTTCGCATCTGGATTCAGAAAGAAACAATCATGCAAACTTCGCTGTGGGGTCGCTTTTTTTTTTTTATGCACCGACACTCTTACACACTGCCGTTCTCTAGAGGCTTTTTTTCTTCTTCCGTAACATTGTCTCACGCTTCTTTTGCGTGCATGCAAAAACTTGCAACTTTGCAGAGCCCTATTTTTCATAACCTTATATGGCAAAAAGTTACAAATAATGCACAACTTAATGCTACAATCGTCCAAACTAAACAAAAAATGAAAACAGCTTCACTCTGTCTACATTGAAGCCTGCCGTAAGTTTTTTTTTATGTGCCACGTATTTTCTTTCTAAGTACCTTACAGGCCCCAGGAGTGGGGGCATTGAGTAAGGGGGGCGATACTATAAATACATGTACATATACATATAGACTTGGCAAAAATACATGAGGAAAGATACAATTGCAATATAATTAACAGAAAGCATTTGAGATAAGTCTATACATGTAAAGATGACACACGCATGCAAACAGTAAGCAAAAGTATGCGTTTATTGAGCACAAGAAGGGAGCGGTTACAAGTCACAGCTGCAACAATCTTAAAACGAGTTCATGTTTAACAAAATAAAAACTAATACCATGCGCGATGAAGGAAAAAATAACGATACAATTCATAGCGGCAATACAGCGGAGTGAATTCACTGTGCGAGAAAAAAAAAGCGCGATAGGCGGGATAACTGCCAGTCAGAAATAGCTCATCTGACGTAGCATACGAGAGATTTGCTTTAATAATGATGTAGGGTGAAAAAGTTCCCAAACTTCATCCTTGCGCTGCGGAAATGCATCAACTCGGTGAAGTTTGTGAAGTGGATCGATAACATATGACGGAATCTTCCATGATTTGTCTCGGCAGCAATGTATCAGGCAAACTATTCAGGAGAATAATAGCACGTGGCAGTGCCAACTTTTTGAACGCGTTTGTGAAGCCGTATATTCGGGAATAGCTGAGATAATTGTTTAATAGGTGTGAGGTGAGATGTGGTTTGTGTAGACCAGTAACGGTGATTCGGGAGGAGTGGGCGATTTTATGAAAGAATGAAATCAAGGCATTGTCACGATGGATGTTCAAGAGTGGAAGTGAAAGCTGTCGTTTTAGATACGATATATTGGAATGGGGATCGTAGTTATTGGCGTTGAAGCGGCTTGGCCTATTGAGATTTTTTCCAATGTGTCAATTAAGTATTTTTGGTGGGGAGACCAGATCGAACATGTATATTCTAGTTGAGGGCGAACCAGGGTTAAGTATGATATTTTGCGAATACTTGAAGGTGCAGCTTTCAAATTACGTCTTAAGAAACCAAGTGACCTGGAGGCGTTGGCAGAGATTGCTTTAATGTGGTACAACCACGATAGAGTAGGTGTAAGTATATGCCCAAGTACCGATATTGCGTTGCGATCGAGATAATGAACTGATTAATGCTGTATGAAAAGTCGGATCTGCTAGATTTACGTATGAAGCGATGATGTGTTCTAGCATTTTACACCAAATGCATGTAAGCGAAATAGGACGGTAATTTTTACATGAGGTTTTATTTCCACTTTTGAATACTGGTATTACTTTTGCCAACTTCCATTCAGACGGTATTATGCTAGTTTCTAGAGACTGCTGGAATATATAGAGTAGAATTTTGCTTGAGACCATTACTGTATTTTTAGCACCTTAGAATTAATTGCATCTACACCGCACGACGAAGATAACTTGAGATTGTTTATGGCTCTAACTGTGCCGTCTAGCTCAATGTCTATTGGTTCCATGAATTGGTAGTCAAGCTCGGCTACGTAGGGTATGTTTGTACTGTTCGTTTTAGTGAAGACAAAAGTGAAAAAGGAATTAAGTGCTGTTGGGCATTGGCTAGCTGAAAGAGGGACGTTGTTGCAATAGTGTAATGAGATGTCCTGGCTTTCACTGGTGGGATCGATGACTTTCCAAAATTTAGCTGGGTTGTATTTCAGTAGTGTAGGTAGGTAAATAGAATAATACTTCGCCTTAGCCTTACTTAAAGCAGCGCAATATGCTTTATGCAGGTTTTATATTTGCGCCAACAAGAAAAACTGCCCGAGCACTTTGCTATATTATATAGCCGCTTTTTCTTTTTCGCATTTTCTGAAGATTTCTACTGAACCACGGATTTGATTTATCGTTGCTAATTTTAACCAGGAGTACATATTTGTCTAATAACGTACACAAAATATTCTTGAAAAGCAGCCAGTCCTCATGAACAGATCGTTTGTGTAAGCAAGGTAGGAAAGTATTTAAAAAACAATGCTAGTTGATAATTATTCTCCTGATAAATGCCTTTCTTATAGTCTCGAATTTGTTTTACATGTACACCGGCTACAGTTCGGGGTATGTTTATCTCTACTTGGAGTAGCGTGTGTTCACTGAATCCGTCCAAGTAATTCGTTTTACGTATTGTGTCTGGAGAAGTAGTTAGAACAAGGTCTACAATGTTTGCAACATGTGTAGGCTTCAGAACAGTTTGAAAAAGGTTGAAATCTAGAGTTAAGAAACTGATTTGACGTCTGACATGTTGATGACAGCGTGGCCCAGTCAATGAGGGGAAAGTTGAAGTTGCCTTTCAACTATAGCAATGGTTCTGCATCAAAACAAGAAAAGTCAAGGCTAGAACCTATGGAGCTTCGCCCCCTAAAAAAGTTCAGCTCAGGAGCAACTTGGAGGGTAAGTTCGTGAACGCCTGGCGTCACTGCAGAAGACGTTTTAACCAGCGTACTTGTACTCGTGGTTGCAGTCCTGAATCGTAAATGTCCACTTGCTGATTTGTCGGCTTCATTGAAGCCCCGTGATTACAAACTTTTCACCAGTTTATGGTGTTTTTTGCTGTGTAAGAACCTGCTACCGCCATTTCCGAGGTCGAAAAAATTATTACCCTCTTTCCGCAAGTTTTAGATCAATATACAAACAATGTTCAATTCGGTGACATAAAAAACAAGAAGTTTAGGCATCTTACAAGAATTGAGAATAATTGTTCGCCTTGAAATGTGTTTCGGAACACGCCGAGAGGTTTGTACAAATACCCCTACGAAGTCATTCTTAAAACAAATTTTAAATAAATATAGGTCCCGGCTATTCAATGGTAGGTTTCTTAGAGGAACATAACCAATAGAACAGGTGGGAATAAAACATAAACAAGGTTCCAAAAGGACACTAGCAAACTGGCAAGCCTTAATGCAGATGAGTTACAGCGGGCTGGAAACTTGTCACCAACTGCTTCAGCCACATCGACAAAGTTATAACACTTCAATACAAAAAAAAAGGGCAGGGTTAGTCGTTTCATAAAAACTGTCGCCGATGTGACACAACCAGCAGTTCGGAGCTCAGCATAGCTTCAGTTGCCTGCTGTATTGGAGCCGTGTAGTCCTGGCTTTGGCTGCGTTTCCAGACTATGATGATTTATTTCTCTTTAGATTTTCGTTCCTTAAATAAAGCTAGCAGTAAACACTGAATGCTATTGTTATCAAAAACAAAAGTGTCTTAAGTAAACAATTAGGGTTATGCGCATGATAAGAATGAAGTTGATGTATGTTTATTGGTGCAGGGGCTATTTGATAGCCAAAGAGGGCCAATAATAGTTGAAGTGTGTAAACAATGGTTAAGTGCCTGTATAGGGGCCTCAGATTTCTCGCCATAAAAGAGGATAAAAGAACAGGTATTCAAATCATCAGAGTAACGCAAAATCTGTGCAGCTAAAAATATCGGTGAATTGCTGGGATAAAAATATGGAGACACTTGGTTTGAGCAGGAATGTCTCATTAACCGATCTTGTGTTTAAAGGTCATGAGACTGGTGTCTTTTGCGATGTAGCTATCGGAGCAGCGATCTCCGTTCGGAGATCATGCTACGGATTACTAGCGCAAATTAGGTGGCAACAATGACCGTCTTTCAAAATGGCGAAAAGTGAATCATGTTTCAAAAGGGAAACCTTAGCGATGAGAATCGTGGGATGCCGAGGCAGTTCCTCTCGGTAGGGTAATGGTAAGTGCTTTATTTCCTGCTAAGATTCAATTTACTGCACTGAATGAAAATATGACTAAAGAGGGACTCAGTTTTGACCACATAACACCTACACTGCTTTAATATGAATCTTACTTTAGGTTCATGAATAGGTGCGGGCTCTTGTCAGAATGTCACGTGAGGCTAAAATTAGATTTCATGGTAGATAGACCTCTATGGCTAACCTAAGCAAAACAACATGATTGGTAGACATGATCCCTCCTCACCCTGAACAACAAACGTTTCACACAAGCTAGATCTGACAATATAGCGAAAGTTGGGCTAGTTGGTGGCTCATGCTTGGTGGTCCAAGCTTGATCTGATTTATTGGCAACAAAAAGAAACAAATTCAGATCACACGCATTTACTTGCAAGTGGGCACAGCGCCAAAGCTTTAATACTTCACTGGTCGATCTAACGAATTGCAACAAAATTATTTCCCATTACGGAAGAACTGTCACGGTGTCATGACGCGGACAAAAGGGCAGTCGGCGTCTTTGGAGTGAAGCTTTTTATTCGGATGAACTTGGGGCTGTGAAACGAAAAATCAAAGTGTTGGCAGCAATGCAAGCTGCACACAGCTATTGGCACAAAGCATCAGTTGTCGACAAAATTGATCCGTGGTAAGGCGCTTCAGTATTTGTATGTTACGCAGGAGACGTCATGAACGCAGGAGATGAATTTGTATGTACCGCAGGGAGACGTCTGTACAAAGAACCATGTGTAAATCAATTCCGTCTTCCCTTTTCATGACTACTGCACCACACCATTTTCATATGATTTGACATACATACACACGGTTATAAAAAAAACTAGCAATATGTCTGGTGGTCACGTTCATGCGAAAATAAACGCAGCTGTTCGCGTTTGTACGCCGAAGAAAAACACATGATCTAATAATAATCTAGAATGCTCCCTGACATTCTGGCG